GGGCGGCTCTGCTGCACCGAGGGGCGCGGCCCTTGCCGCTTCAAAGCTGCCTGAGGCAGGGATCGAGCTGTTCCAGAGCTAATTTAGTCCGTTGGATTTCAGTACGGCGGAACACACTAGGTGGAAATAGGATGAATAATTTAAAGAATTAATTATTCTAACTGAGGTTGTGAACCATGCTGCAGACAATATACAGTACAGATAAATCCTACCACTTTCTGTTGATCGAGCTGTTCCAGAGCTAATTTAGTCCGTTGGATTTCAGTACGGCGGAACACACTAGGTGGAAATAGGATGAATAATTTAAAGAATTAATTATTCTAACTGAGGTTGTGAACCATGCTGCAGACAATATACAGTACAGATAAATCCTACCACTTTCTGTTTACAATCATTTTTTAGATTCGGATGAGCAGGGTTCCTTGTAATTTCCTCTTTGTCAAAATTAAAGGCCTCTCAATTAGAGATGTGTAATGGCTAGTAGGTTGTTTTTTCCATCCTCTTGCCACTCCAGATTTACCCCCCCCAGAGAATATTCTTAAGTGCTTCGTCTTCTCTGAATTTAAGTAATTGAAATGACAGACTTTGTCTCTTTACACAGAAGAAACTAATGTAATTGAATATACATTATAGATATGTCAACTTGAAAAAAAATCGTTATTCTTGCACCACCCTCATGACAAATACGCATACCCAGCTGTCACAGTCACCTTTATCAATTATTTACCCAACTATATTATTTATTTTTTTGATTCCTTCCTGATGGGAGAGACACTGCAGCTTCCACTTTTATTATCTGAACAGTTGTGAAATGCTTTGGTGCTATCAACAAGGACAAACATCTATCTATCAGCATTCCCACCTTCTGTTCCTAGTTTTGCTACTATATCCAATGCTGTAGCAGACCCCTTTTCTCTTTTTTTTTTTTTTAAACTTTGTCCCATGCTCAGAGTTCTAAAAAAATACAGTTACTGCTTTTATATAATGAAATACCATCTTTCTCGTTCACCCTGTAACTCTGTATAGCAATCTAGACTGTCTCAAAAGTATAAAAAGGTATTATCAATTAATTCAGTGCATCAGCCAGCTTCCCCATTTTATAGCAAAGTATTCAGGGGTGTTGGTTTTAATTAAAGGACATGCCAAATTGAAATCACTACTGTCCCAAATGTCTTATCTTCTTTTCCTAAGTTACCATGACTCTACAAGTTTTTTCTGGTTTGCTTGTGCCACATGCAGTTACTTCTAGTAAAGACAACTTCCCCTGGTAATGTGGGTTTTTTCTTAAATGACAGAAGAGTGGTTTTCTTTTAACTACAAAACTGAGAATTAGTTTTATTACCATATAAAATACGGAGCCTTATAACCATATAAAAAATCCTATTCAATACCTAGAACCCTTATTAGACAAAGACAGTAAAACTGTGACACAAACAAGGCAGTAAGGTTCATTAAGTATTTTTCATCTGTATTTGGAAATCAGGATGATGTACGTCTATTGTAAAAATATAATGAAGTATTTTGCAGTCTATTCATAACTTGAAGTTAAGCAGTATTCAACTTCTGAGTACACCTCATGAGTCTTTAAAATATCTGACATAATGGTTTACTGACATTAAAATTTAATGAATTTGGAAATAGCAAAGAAACCTAAAACAGTCCTACTATTATGTAACATTCCAAAATCTCATTTGGAATAAACTACACGACTATAGATTGCTCATTTGCAGTCTGCATTTGCTGTATCTGCCATCTAGAGTATCAGCCCATGCAAAAGAACGGAAAAGCTGGTGGAAGAATAAATTATTCAGTAATTAAAAAAAAAAAAAAAGAATGGTATTAGGAAGAGTTCACGGGCAGTAAGTCTCAAACAATTCTGACCACTCAATCTATTCCATTAATTTTAAAAAGTTCTAAAATGTAACATTTGTGAAAGGCATTTGACTATGTCATGGCAATAAAATATGAAATTATGCAGTAATAAACAATACCCATATTAGGGGATTCATAATTTCCTAAGCCAAAACAGTTTAAAAAGTACATATCAGTCAGGAATTATGAGGAAATTAAAGTACTTTTAGTGAGTATCTACAGAATTGATTCAAGACTTGTCACTGTGAAATATTTTAGTGATGTGAGTCAGTGGAATCACCCTTCCCTGCTATTTTAAGCTGGCACTGGTATTCATTGTATCTGTCCATAAACTATTCTATTTGATAACCTGGCATAAAATTCATGCAGTAAAAAAAAAAAAATCTCATTTTGCTTCATCCTTAAGATTAGGTACTCATAAATTATAGGAGATAAAACACGGTATTTCAGCAAAAGATTTAGGAATCTGAACACTAAGATCATAGGAATTAGGAAGGGGCAACTACATTGACTCGACAACTTAACTTTTCACAAAATGTAAACCATAGGAAACCTTTTCTCATCCCAAACATGGTATTATAGCAAAAACCTAATACAACAGTATGTCTAAATGGGGATTAGGGACAAGAGGATTGCTTTACCTCTATAGCCATTGCTACAACTCCAGACATACTATGTTTAGTTTTCGCATTCACATTTTAGAAAATATGATGAAAGAGCCTCAAAACATGAGTGAGGAGAACAGCTTTTTCCCCCTCACTCCTCCACATGAACAATTTATTAGTATTCCTGTTTTCTATGTGTTAGAAAATGAGTCTCAGGATTTTACCTTCTGTGTTTTCACGCAGCCTCCTTGCAGCCCATGACACCGGCTTAGCTTGGCAGCACTATCTATTCGTGTTTCAAAATCCTTCAGTTGAAAATCATATCTAGGTCTGATTACACCAAACTTGCTGAGCCTCCTTGTTACACGGACAATACTGTCAGTTCTATAATCATCAGTTTATTTTGATTTCACCAAAGTAACCACACCATTAAGAACCAGATGATACTTTGAGCGTACCCTAATGAAAACATGGCGTTTCCCATATTTCTAATATTGCTAATCTTTTAGCAGCATGAGCTAGATCATTCCTGAGCAGTCAGTTGCTGCAGCAAGAGGGCAGAAAAAAAATAAGAGGCTTTGTGAAACAAAAAGTGGTTGTATGGTTTCTCTAGAAAAAGACTGCAAGAACATAGTTACTTTCTCAAGCCAAAAATAAAAGGTACTGAAGGCCTTTTTAACCTAGTAGCAGAAATTACCAGAGACAAGAGCTAATTCCTAATGAAAAGAAAAAATATGAAGAAATAAGAGCATAGTTTTTCAAAATTAGAACAATTTATGACAGTACCAGCAACCACAGAAGCAGTGGATTTTCCATTTCTTGATATTTGCAACTCTAGATAGCATGATTGAAGCAGATACCTAAAGAAAGCTGAGCAGCCGTATTTTTCTTAA